GGAAGAAATTAAAGAAATATGATTCTGAATCAACAAAGCTCTAAGAGCAACAAGAATCAAAGCAGAGAAATCAGACATCAAAAGAAAAATCAAGAAAGCTACAGTGAAAGATAAATATGCAAAGAAGATTGACAACAAAAATAAGAACTTCAAGAAAAAAGACAGAATGATATTATATTACAGATTGATATATATATCAAGAAAGATCAGAAAAGAAGTGATGATACAAGAATATGACACAGTTACTTCAGAACACTTCAGCATTGACAAGATAATAAAGAAGATTACAAGAACATACTATTAATCAGAAATGTGAACAGACATTCAACAACATGTTAAAGAATGTGAGACATGTGCACAAAGCAAAACCAACAAGCAACAATCACACAGAAAACTACAGTTAATATCACAACTGCAAGAACTATGAAAATCTATAGTAATGAATTTTATTATGAAACTCCCAAAATCAAAAAATATGAACAGAAAGAAGTATGACACAATACTAGTGATCATCAACAGACTAACAAAATATGAATACTTTATACTATTTAAAGAAGCAACAGATGCACCAGAAACAGCACAAATGATATTAAAGATAGTGATTATTAATTACAGATTGTCAGAAGAGATAATTACAGACAGAGACACAAGATTCACAAGCAAGTTCTGAATGACATTAATGATACTACTAGAAATTGAATAAAAGATGTCAACAGTCTATCACTCACAGACAGACAGCCAAACAGAACAATTAAATCAGATCTTGAAACAATATCTATAAAAATATGTGAACTATCAACAGAATAACTGGATTGAACTGCTATTAATAACACAACTAGCATACAATGAGTCAAAGAACACTACAACAGAATTGATATTATTCTATATAAATTACAGCAGAGAATCAGAAATACAATAACAATTAAGAATTGCACAATAGAGAGTTCAAGAAGCAGAGCTCATCACAATACAGCTGAAAGAATTGCAAGATCACATGAGAATGAACATTGAATTCTTATAAGAAAGAATGAAGTACTACTACAATCAGAAGCATCAGAAGACACCTATCTTAAAAAAAAGAGAGAAAGTATTTCTACTTTAACAAAACATCAAAACAAAAAGATCAAACAAGAAACTCAATTTTAAGAAACTGAGATCATACAAGATCAAAAAGCAGATTGAAAAAATCAACTATAAACTACAACTATTAAAGAAGATGAGAATATACTTTGTATTTCATGTTTCATTACTGAAAAAAGCACTGCTACATGCTAAAGAAATGCTCATGAAAATCAACAACAAACAAGAATATAAAGTTGAACAAATACTAAATCATCAGACAATCAGTGAAAAACTTCACTATCTAGTGAAATAAAAAGAGTATAATATCTCAAAAAACATCTGAGAACCAGTGAAGAATCTTATAAACATTCAGAAGATTGTTGAGACATATTATTAATAACACTCTCATTTAAAAGAGCATTAATAAACAAAAAGAAGAATTTGAGAAGTGATTTCAACAGAGAAAAATTGTCTAATATAGCAAGATATTGTTGAATTTTCACTTGCTCAGTCACTCTTTTCTGTTCTTTCTTCTCAAGACACTCCAACTCCTCCAACAACTGAAGACTCAATTCAAGAAATTTACCCACACAATTATAAAGAAGACATTTTTGTTTTTAAAAACAAAAATGTTTGACAGAAGCAGTCTGAACAGCTTTAAAAATTTTTGTCTCTTCAAGTTCAAGCTTATCACAAGCAGCTTTGAGATTTCACCAATCACAATCAGAAGATGCAGAATCAACAACATAATAATAATCAAGTCAACAACATTCAGAAGACTTTATCAATTTATCAGAACAGATGCACTCTTTATCATGATGAGAACAGTAAACACAACAAGAAGATATCATAATATTAATTTCTTCAATTTCAGAAGCTAGACACTTGTTATTGCAAGAAGACTTTAAAGTCATGATAACAGAGTTATAAGAACATTTACTTACAGAAAGAAAACTCTTTTGAAAATAAAGTAAGAGAATAATCACTCTTTATACTCAAGAAAGAGTGCAAGCAGTTGAGAACAACACACTAAGAAAGAAGAAGATGATGTTATAAATCTTGCAGCACAGTACAGAATCATCACACATTATTAAAAGAGCATATAGAGAATGCAATCAGAAAGTGGAGCATGATGAGACTACAAGAATTACAGACTGAAAGAACTAGAACTCAAGAAAGAAAAAGTCACATGACTGAATAGTCAAGATAGTAGCAATTATCTCAACTGGCAGATAGCTGAATAGTCAGAATAGTTACAACTATTCTGACTAGTGGACAGAAGAATAGAAGGAACTACTTAAACTATTCACAATATTCATCATGTATATAAGAACACTCTTTATCATTAATCAGATGGATTTATTTATTATAATTAATCTTCTCTCTTACAATTCTCTATAGATTTATCTATACAGATACTATCATATCTTGATTACTTTTCATATTAACAAAGTTCTGTAATACTGTACAATTGTATCTGCTCTCACTACTCTTGAGAAGACATAATGATCTTGACTCAACTCTGACATATCTGTATAAAAACTCTTTATTATTGGACAAGTCTGCCAACTCAAGATTGAGCACCATTGGAGTATTGATCACTAAAGCTCCCAATTTGTTATGTTGGACAACAAGTTCAATAACAAGTCTTATCTTGAGTTACTCAGTACTGAGACTGATGTCATCTACTGCAGAATGAAAAGATTCTTGAGATATGAATCTCATACTGAAATGGTGCTGCTGGGAATAACTTGAGTGCAGAATGGAATTTCATGTTTCATTTTCTGCTGAAATGAGATATGAGACCAAGATGACTAGTTTCAAAACAAATTCTCAATCAGATTTTGGAACTGAAATCAATGTTTATGAGATTTGAAATTCTGAAACTGGTTCTGTGACTCAGTTTAACAGAAAAGAAAGAAGAAGAAGAGAGAAGATAAAAATAACTGATCTTATATCTTCTGTTTGATATCATAATACTGAGACAACTGGTCACAGATTTATAGTAAATAATATACTGACTTGATATCATGTTAAAATAAACATATCACATTAAAATAAACATATCATGATATTGCATGGTAACATAGTAAGCTGCATAGCAACAGTAGTTCAGTATCATATCTGTAGCAGTCTGCTATTGCATTCAAATCTTTACATCTCATTTCATTCATATTCACATACAAAACACTCATCTCTAATCGATAAAAACAGATAAATATGACACCATGAAAGAGATATTGAA